CTTCTCGTGTTATCTTGACGAGAATTACATTGGGATTCTTAAACTTATATGTGGTCGGTCGAAGCATCCCAAGACAATCGAGTCTGTTGCCATGCAAAAGGTTCGTCTCGGCACGGGCGTGGCAGCCTTGCAAAGCGACGAGGTCTCTTGATGGAAAAAAAAAACAATACATCTGGCTTTGCCTCCTCCGCCTTCCCTGCAGGCTGTCTTGGGGCCGTCTTGGGGCCGTCCTGGTGCCATTTGGGTGCCGCCTTGGGGCCGTCTTGGAGTCGTATTGGGGCCGCCTTGGGGCCGTCTTGAGGCCGTCTTGGGGCCGCCTTGGTGCCGCATTGGGGCCGTCTTGGGGCCGCCTTGGGGCCCTCTTGGGGCCGTCTTGGGGTTGTCTTGGTCCGTATTGGCGCAACATATACAACGCGTAATAAGATTCTTGCCGCATTTTCGATAGATGCCCAAATCAATAAAAATAATGAATATTAAGAAAATGTTAGAAACAGCTTCAAAAAAAGATAGACGTTCAAGGTTTTTCACAAAATAGGCCAAGACAACAATGTTAGACATGTTAAGAAAACAATGTTATACAAAAGATTCTCAGGGTGGGCTCCTCTGGGCATCCCCCCCGGGGCCCGTTTTGTGAGGATGTCTCAGGCGAGGGCGCCGGTTTGGGATTCGTCACCGGATCCAGCGGATCCAGCGGATCCAGCGGATCCGTCCGGAAACGGTGCCGGAGGCCGCTCTGGGCTCCTCTGGGCATCCCCCCCGGGGCCCGTTTTGTGAGGATGTCTCAGGCGAGGGCGCCGGTTTGGGATTCGTCACCGGATCCAGCGGATCCAGCGGATCCGTCCGGAAACGGTGCCGGAGGCCGCTCTGGGCTCCTCTGGGCATCCCCCCCGGGGCCCGTTTTGTGAGGATGTCTCAGGCGAGGGCGCCGGTTTGGGATTCGTCACCGGATCCAGCGGATCCAGCGGATCCGTCCGGAAACGGTGCCGGAGGCCGCTCTGGGCTCCTCTGGGCATCCCCCCCGGGGCCCGTTTTGTGAGGATGTCTCAGGCGAGGGCGCCGGTTTGGGATTCGTCACCGGATCCAGCGGATCCAGCGGATCCAGCGGATCCGTCCGGAAACGGTGCCGGAGGCCGCTCTGGGCTCCTCTGGGCATCCCCCCCGGGGCCCGTTTTGTGAGGATGTCTCAGGCGAGGGCGCCGGTTTGGGATTCGTCACCGGATCCAGCGGATCCAGCGGATCCAGCGGATCCGTCCGGAAACGGTGCCGGAGGCCGCTCTGGGCTCCTCTGGGCATCCCCCCCGGGGCCCGTTTTGTGAGGATGTCTCAGGCGAGGGCGCCGGTTTGGGATTCGTCACCGGATCCAGCGGATCCAGCGGATCCAGCGGATCCGTCCGGAAACGGTGCCGGAGGCCGCTCTGGGCTCCTCTGGGCATCCCCCCCGGGGCCCGTTTTGTGAGGATGTCTCAGGCGAGGGCGCCGGTTTGGGATTCGTCACCGGATCCAGCGGATCCAGCGGATCCAGCGGATCCGTCCGGAAACGGTGCCGGAGGCCGCTCTGGGCTCGTGCTCTTCGCGCCGGGGGTGAGGATGACGTGAGTTCCACAGAAACTCCCTCAAATGAATTAACTCCCGAGGCTATCGCCAAGCAAGATACGTGTCCGGCCTTCTGGATGCGAGGAGTTATCCCCGCCGCTTGGACTGCCGTGGAGCCGCCTGCAGCCTCGGAGAGTTCCCAGGGAGCCTCGCTGATAGGAGGCGCTGAAGGTCCAGGTAGTCTCGGGCCCGAGAGCGGCTCGGCCGATGACCCCATCTTCATGTTCGGCGGGGACGCCCTGGGGGGGGGGGAGATACCCGCGACCCGAGGTTGAGAAGGGTAGGCCAGGCTGTCGCCGCGTCCCGTCCATTCTCTCCGCGCGCTCTTGGGCCCCATCGTTTCGGGTCCCTCCCAGGCCCCGTCTCAAAGCGGCGCCTCGGGGGGGCCTGTTTGTTTTTGAATGGGCCCTCTGCTCCGCGAAGGGGTGGCTCGTGTAGGTGACAGATTGCGCCGAGGCTGCCTGAAGGTGGTGGGATCGTGCACTTGCGGCCCCAACTGGGCCGCAGGCAGACGTCTGGCGCTCCATGGGCAATTTTCTCACCGCCCAGCCGCATCCTGAGTGCCATATTTCCATGTGTTGGCTTCCGCCCCACCTCGAGGGCAAGCGTGCGGCTGCTCAAGGTCGGCCCTCCTGGCTGATCCAGGGCACTGCGTGCGTCGACGTCCTTGCAGGAGAGACCGCCGCGCGAGCGCGGGCCTCGGAGGTCGAACGGTTCAGAACTCATAATATCGAGCGAAGCGCCCGTCTGGTTAGGAGGAGGCTACTCCGCGTCGATCCTGGGTCCACATGGTCTTCGGTTCCCTCCTCCTCCTCGACCCAAGCCTGTCGCACGCTTCGCGTCTGCTCACACCCTTGCTAGAAATGGCAGGTCGCGTCTTGCGTGCCGCAGTTCAGCTACCAAAAGTAAGGAGACTTGCTGCACATCAGTCGTAAATCATCCTGGCCCCCCCCTGGACGGAATGTGCACTTGGCTGGTGCTTGGACGCACCCCACCCACACCATATCACACCATGCAGTGTCACTAAGACCTTGGTTTGTGGTTTTGCGGTTCCTGCGGATTTTTCGGCCTGGCCCAGCTCAGAAGGTTAGCGAATCCGTGCCGCCCACCACAGCTCATCACCAAGGCCAGGCGCAAATACCTCGATCGTATTTATCGAGGCCAGTTTCTCAATGCCTGGGCTAAATTGCATGCTTTTGATCAGTACGTGATGGCGGAAATTCTGGAAATCCTCCAATACGGCCCCCATGACTCACAAGGGTGCCCCAAAACGGCCCGAAGAGGGCCCCATGAGGCGCCAAGAGCCTCAAGAGGTCCCCAAGAGGCTCCAAAAAGAGCTCTGGGAGGCCCAGAGAGGCTCTCCGGAGGCACCAAGACGCTCCACGACACCCCTGGGGCCGGCACAGGACGCCCCTACGACGCCCCAGCAAAACCCCAAGAAACTCTCAGAAGCATCCGAAGACACTCCGAGAAACATCCAAGAAGCCACTGGCCTTATTGCTCGCTCTCCTCGTCCTCCTCCTCCTCCCCCTCCTCCCCCTCCTCCTCCCCCTCCTCTTCCTCTTCCTCCTCCACTTCCTCCTCCTCCTGCTCCTCATATTGTTCCTCTTCCTTATTTGCCTGTTCTTCCTCGTCCTCCTCCTCCTCCTCCTCCTCCTCCTCCTCCTCCTCCTCCTCCTCCTCCTCCCTCCTCTTGTTTACCCCTCCCCTCCCCCTCCCCCTCTCCATCCTCATCTTCCTTCTCCGGCTCCTCCTCCATCCTCCTTCTGTGGGTGCGGCGGCTTCCCCAGCCCTGCATTACACTGCGTGCTCCGCCACATCCCTGATCAAGGCAATTCGCCTGGGCTTCGTTTGTGACTGGGCTGCGAGGGTTCCTTTTTTTATCACAAACGCACCGGAAGACGCCGGGCGCCGTCATAACGAAGCGTCGATGCAGCACACAGAAGAAGGGCGAAAAGAGAAAGACGGCGGACGAGACAGGCAGCGGGCGAACCCCACTGCCGCTTAGAAGAGCGCCGGCACCAAGACGAACACTTGGGCGACGTGCGGCACCTCGAGGTAATTGAAGCCCTCGGCCCAAAACAAAAGGGCAAGACGTGCGGGCGCTCGACGGAAAATCCGGATCGCCATTCACCAGATGGTGCGGGAGTCGTTGAGAGGAAGGCAAACTCCAGCGAAGAGTTGGCGCGAGCCAGCGCTTGGGGACATCAGCAAACCCCAGGGGAGGCAACGAAGGGGAGGACCCGGTGTCCGTCTACCCTGGGCGGAAAGAGGCGGCAGACTCAAGGCGAGCCGCGGGGCAGAGCCCTGGAGAATCCCCGAAATAGGGAGAGGCCAAACTGCTCGGGTTTTTTGTCGCGGCCGCAGGCGAGAGCGCCGACGGCGAGTAGGGTTCGAGCGGGCCGCGCGCGAGCCTAATTGCCTAACGCCGACGAGCCGGCAGCCTAAGCAGCAACTAAGCGGGCCGGTCAGCGCGAGGGGGTACGGGCTGCAGCTGCCAGGGACCAGGCCCAGGAGCGCGCGCATGCACGATTAACCAACCAGGGTTGGAGCGCAACCAAACTTGCGCGGGGGCGGTACCAGGATGTGGCCAGGAAGACCATCACTGGGAACGCTGACGCCAGCTGGGCCAAGAAAAACTCACTGGCCACGGAACTAGTGCATGGGGTGGCGACACCAAAATCGCACACCGAGACTCCTAAAAATAATACTGATCCGGACACCTGCCGACAACCGTGCACGGGGTGAACCCGAGCGGTCTCGCGGAGTAGCCAGGAGAACGGTGGATGTGATCAACACCATAACAGCGCCTGAACCACCGGATCAGAGAAAACCATGCGCACTTCCGACCAGGGTCGACGACGTCTCAAGCACGAAGTCGAGAGAACACGAAAGTGCGAGCACCGCCGCCAAGAAACCGTGGACGTAGTCGACACAGTCGTCCAACGGCCAGGAGAGCACAGGCTGGACCACGTGCACTCGGGGACTCCATGCGCCAACGAGGAAGTTAGGCCTGTGGAGCTGGGACTGCTAGGGTTACGCGGAGCGTCTAGAAAAATGGAAGAGGAGCAGGAGAAGGAGGAGAGGGTGGAGGAAAAAAGGAGGGCATAGGAGTCAGGAGAGAAGAAGGAGGATGAGGAGGAGGAGAAGAAAAAGGATGAGGAGGGAGGAGGGAGAGGGGAAGAGAAGGGAGGAGGGAGGAGGAGGGAGGAGGGAGGAGGAGGGAGGAGGAGGAGGAGGAGGAGGATCAGGAGACCTTAGACCTTAGACCATCTCATGGAGTCCTGCCTGTGCCAACAAGCCGCACTGCATCTCTGCCTGAACTCAGACTGCAATTCGACACGCACTAGGGCTCTGAGGCGGGTCACTACGGAGGAGGATCAGGAGGAGGATCAGGAGGAGGAGGAGGAGAAGAAAGGCTCAGCGCGATCTCACGCCTTCGCGCGGTCGCTCCGCGCGCCGAGAATTGCGCGCCGCGGGCGGACGGCGCGGGAGCTTCCCAGACCACTGGGGGATCCGGTCTCCGTTTCGGGGGGGGGGAGGCGGAGGTGCGACTGTATCAATCAAGCAGCCTAGGCATGTCTCACCAGGATCGGACGCATAGCCCCATTTCACCTAAGCTCGCACATGGTCAGTGAGCACCAACACCCTCATCATCTTCTGGTCAGTGCATCACCGGATCGGCATACATGCCCATAATCACCAGCACCCAGGCAATCACTGCGCACTTCTCTGATTGTGGGGAGCGCATCATTCGAATGATCATGTGACTTCACTCCACAGGGTGGCGATGATGGGCACACATTTGTTTTGGTCCAGGGCGAAGATGAAGGTGGATGACTCAAACAGAGGCGTGAACATACAAGTGCCGCTGCACACCAAGCCAAAGGATAAACCATAATTGAACTAAGGGCGCAGGCAATAACAACAACATGCCATGCCCGACGACACCCATGATACTTAGAGAAGGGGGAAAAAGGGACGAGAAACGAAACGGAATGGCTATCACCAAATGCGGACTGGGACCCTTCAACCGGACCAGGACGTGCCATGCGTGCGAGTGGACCTCGGATGCAAAGGGTCACGCAACGCAGGATATTCGTGGAGATCCCGGGGCAGCTCGCGATAGACAACCAGCACGCGATAAACCAGCACCAACTCATAACAATATGCAGGCGGAGGCAGCAGGAGGGGAGGCCAGAGTGGAGGAGAGCCTCGAGGCGAACTCAAACGACTAACGATACGAACTCCGCCTCAGCATCGTATCGGCCCCGAGCCGATTGGGAGAACGCACGACTGGCGTGGGATGGTGCAACGCAGTGAGGCAAATTCTGATGACATGGCGGACCGGGCCCACTGAAAAAAAGGCACAGAGTGCAAGAGGGAGGGAGGAGGGACAAGGAAAGAGAGCAAGACAACCGCACGGGATCCTTCTAAAGACAGAGCGACCTAGACTTGAGCAGCGGGGTGCCCCACGACCACCCTCCCCGTAGAAGACAGCGGAAAGCCTCAGGACGATCGCCCCGTAACGGATGCCATAATGTATGCCATCATGCACTTTCACACTGATGCCACTCACTTCCTGGAGTTTCACCTCCTCGGTGTTGACGGGTCAGGCCCCATGCCTGAAGCGAACCATTGGTACGCGGCCAATGCCATGTCATTGTGCATGTGTCGGCTCTACCTGAGAACGAGCCATGGAGTTGATGAAGCTTTCTCCCCCTCATCCCGAATGTCCACTTCTCAGAGGTGGCAAACTTTTCAGTGGGGGCAAGACCTACGGTGGTGCCAAACTGTCGGCGGCTATGGGGGGTCGCCCAGACAGTCATGCGTTACAAGATCCTACGTGTGCGACTGTGAGCAAATTCGGTCCTAAGGGTTTCGTGGCCGACGAGGGCCACCTCCTGGCCGAAGCAAGTGCTATGCTCGGGCTCGACGACGAGTCCGACGATGGCAACGACTCCGACGATGGTAGCGGCACTATCACGCTGGCCTCCTTGGACGAGGCAAAGCTCACCGAAGCAGGGGCTATGCTCGGGCTCGACGACGACGAGTCCGAAAATGGCAACGACACAATCATGCCTCCCACGAAAGTGGCATGGCCCGATGTAGAAGATTATGAGGGTGACTACGACTAGGACTGGGAGAAATTGCACTTGCGCGACTGGTCTCGCGTGGCTACTTTCGAGCGGGACACCAAATGTTCTAAGAACAAATACAAGGTTCTTAGAACATAAACCCGATGGGTTAAAACAAGGCAGTCTCGGCCAGACATGTTCCGAGAACATCTCGTGCAGACCACAAGAGGTAACTAGAACATTATTTGGCTGGCCTATGGGCAAGCCGAGACGCTTCGCCACAGCTTGATACTTCGAGCCACATCTAAGTCGTGCGTGTCCCCCTACAGGGGCATTTTCGATGAAAAGTAAAACAAAAATACTCAAACAATACTCCAACATGGCCAAACAAATACTCAAAAAAAGAGTCCCATGACTATTGTTTTAACTATTTTTGAACATTCCCCCTGTAGAGGGACAAGCCCGACTTAAAGCCACATCCGTGCCGACGGGACGGCCAGCCCCGAGGCCCGGCAGGAGCCCAGGAAGCGACGGCGGCGGCGCGGGCGCTGGACCGGCCTTGTCCCTGCCCCGTCCCGGCGGTGCCGCCGGGAGAGCCAGGGGGCAGCTCCCGGCGCTATCCCGAGGCGCACGATCGCGAAGAGGAGGAGGAGGGGGAGGAGGGGGAGGGAGAGGAGGCGGGAGGAGAGGGAGGAGGAGGAGGAGGAGGAGGAGGAGGGAGGAGGAGGAGGAGGAGGAGGAGGAGGAGGAGGAGGAGGAGGAGGAGGGAGGAGGAGGAGGAGGAGGAGGAGGAGGAGGAGGGAGGAGGGAGGAGGAGGAGGAGGAGGAGGAGGAGGAGGAGGAGGAGGAGGAGGAGAGGAGGGGGGGAGGAGGAGGGGGAGGGGGAAGGGGAGGGCGGGGCACTTGGCTCCTCCGACCCCCACGGATCAAGGGACTGGGACTCTGCACCCACCTCAGCGCCTTCTGCGACGCCCAGTGCTTCGCAGATGTCTTCGAACGCTAATCTTCATGGAGACATTCGTTGTCTTTGTGGCGACTTTGATCGCAACGCTTCGCATAAACCTTCGTTCTCTTTGCGATGGTCTTCGGTTCTGGCCAATTCCTCCGTTATTTCAAAATGGCCCAATACACCCTTACGTAAGTGGGACCAACAAGCTATGTTGCGGGAGCTGTGGCTTCGTGTAACCAATTCTGTACGACCTGTGCATCTACCCCATCGTTACGGTAGTGTACTACATAATTCCCCCATCATGCACTTTGAAACGGGTGCGACTTTGAAAAGTGCCCAGAGGGCCGCATGGCGCGGAAGAGGTCCTCAAATCCTGGGGCTGCCTGGGCCAGCCCCAAGCTGTCTGTGGAGCTCAGAAGGCCCGAAACGGCACGATGAGCGCGGGATCCCTGCCCGAGCTTCTCTAAATACGCTTCTGTCCCACAAGACATCTTGAGCTGTCGAGAATGATCTCTGCCTCCGAGGGAGTAGCAGTGTTCCGAAGTTCCTGGTGAGGCGCCACTACTTGGAAAGCCCTTTGCCCCCTCACATCCTCGAGCGGCCCTCGGGGCCCAGCAGAAAAGTGATGCAAGAAAGTGATGCCCGTTCCAGGAGAGCCCAGAATCGAATCGATGAGTCGGATCGGCGATCGAAATGAATCGGATCGGCAGACATCGGCAGCCAAGTCGGGATAAGTCCAATTTGCGGACATCGGCAAGCTTGCAATGAAGGCCTCCATTGAGAAACGGACATCCAAATCGGAAACCGAAGTCGAATCGAACTGGAATCGGAATCGATCGACATCGAACCGAACCGAGTTGGGGCAGTCGAAATGAGCCCTGCCTTTCTGGCCAGTCCAGCGGTCGTCCTCTGTCGCCGCCCGGCGGTCAACCGCCTGGCGGTCACGGCCCAGCGGCCTGGCGGTCGTCACAGCTCGCCCCCTCCTCCACCGCCAGCACGCCCAAGATCCGCGGCCGACCCGGGCGCCGGAGCCGCGCTCAGGGAGGACCGCCAACCAATACGCCCACGCCGAGCCCTGGCCATACCCTGGACCTCCCTGGGATTGGCGCATGCGGCCCTCTGGCGTGGCCAGACATCCACATGCACCAGCCGCGAGCTCACCCCCACAGAAGCGACGAAAAGAAACGGGTCCTACGCGACATGGCATAGCGACCTTTAGAAAGCGCGGCACGCTGCGTTGGAAACGGTGGCGCCAACGCGCGACCTTACGCGGGAAGCTTACGCGCCAATGTCGGCGCAGTCGAAACCGTCTTCTTCCGTGCCTCATATACCTAAGACTGACAGACCCAAGGCGATGGCAGCCTCAGGGGTGCGCCCTCAGAAGCTGGGGGGATACTCAAGATCGACACCGAGATAGTATGATTCGGGCGTTGGCAGGACTGGGTTTAGTGGGACCTGGGTTAGTGGTGTGCACTGGGGAACGCCCCCCAGCCCCATTCCACTGACTGGAACTGCCGTTACCCGAAAAACACTTGCTACGGCAGACCTGGTTAGTTTAGTGATTCCATTCCATGTTTGGGACCTCGGGGCCCAATCACTAATCGGCTCCCCTTAACAGGGGCCCTGGCTATCCCCGAATGATGCCAACCACGGAGACAGGGATAGATGCTTCAAGCTGGTAAGCACTTGCAGCGATGTTGGCACCAGGATCGGCAACGCCGAGATCGTTGTGGGTGCACGGTTGGCGCCCTCCGCCCGCTCACCTCCGCCGCCTCCCTCCTGGCAGCGAAGACCGAAAACTGCGCGCGCCCGCCCGCCCAGGCGAGGCGAAGACGGGATGGGGCCAAATCCGGAATCCCCGAGAACCCAAGAGATGGCTGGCGGGTCTGCAGGAAGCATCGGCCGCCGCTACCGTTTCAGAGCGTTCCGGATCGCTGCGGAGAGGCTATACCCTCCTCCCAGGCCTGCCTGACAAGGTGAAAGGGGGGCCGGGAGGGTGCCAGCAGATTCCGGCCCCACGGCTCCTGTCGAGGATCCACACGCCCAGCTCCCGGATGCCGCTCTGACTGCGAAGCTGGCCACAAGCCCCCGGGGAGACGCGTGGGGGCAGCCCCTAAACGAGGGGGGTCGCCCCTGCTCACTCCCTCCCTCCCCCCTTGCCTGCTTTTCCTTCCACCCATTCCCCTGTGCCCTCCCACTCCGCCCTCCCTCCATGCTCCTTTGTCCTCGTCCTCCCCCCCGCCCGCCCTTACCGGCCCCCTCCCCCCCTTGCCGCGCGCCCTTCTGGCGGGCGCCAGCGAGGGGGAGGGTGGGGAGAGGTGGAAGCGTCGCAGCAGTGCCGCCGTCGACCTTCTCCTCCCTATTTGTTTGCTTTCTTTTTCTCATGTTTTTTCCTCCGCCTTCGGCCCTTCCTCCCTTTTTCTCTTGTTCGGACTTCAAGCTCGCCTCTTCCCCCTCCTCCTCCTCCTCCTCCTCCTCCTCCTCCTCCTCCTCCTCCTCCTCCTCCTCCTCCTCCTCCTCCTCCTCCCCCTCCTGGTCCTCCTCCCTCCCCTGGAGGTCGCCTGCGAGACCCGCACCCTGCCACAGCCCATGCCTGCGAGAACGACACCCGCCACATCCGACGTCGACGAGCGAGCGAGCTGGGCCGCCTGACGTCGCGCAGCACGCCCCGCGAGGTGCGGCGCGCGATTCTCTTCGCGCCCTCGCGGGGCCAGCTTGGAGAAGGGCAGCTCTCGGGGCAGGGCCGCGACACGCGGAGCGCGGTCCTCTTCGCGCCCCTGGGGGGTGACCTGCTCTCGCAGCCCAGGCTCCGTGGGCGGGGACGTCGGCCTGCCATGGCCGAGGTGGGATGAAGGCAGACTGGGATGAGGCGCGTCAGGGAGCAGGTCAAACAAAACATCGTGGCCGCTCCGGAGCGCTGCGAGACACTCTCAGAGCGCCCCAGAACGCTATGGAGCGGCACGTTCTCGTGTCAGGCCTACCTGGCAGCCAGCCCCCCTTCGTCTGACCTTGTAGGCACCATGACAATGGACATCCTTACAATCCGATCCTTGGATTAACCATGTGTTTAAATGGTTCTACATAAGCATTAACAGGTTTAAACTATGTTGCTTTGCGTGTCTAGGACATGTTTGAACAAACTCTCGGCATCTGGAACGAATTTGAATAGTTGACACCAGGCTTCCTCTCCACTGATCGACTTCCGCAAGTCTGATCCGAGGTTGGAGGCCTGGAGATGGGCACCAACACCAACACAGGGGGCTGTCTCCACAGGAGGAAGATGATCCTAGACTTCGGTATTGGTGGTAATATTTCGGCCAGCTTGGAAGCCAGAAGATTACCACCATCACCAAGATCGGGATCTTCTTCCTTCGGTGGAGGCACACCGCCGATCTTGGTGTTGGTGTCAACCTCTGAGCCTGTGAGAGGGGGCGGGCGGGCGGGCGGGCCGTCGGCACCCTGAGGGGTACATGCTCAGCAGACGAAGGCCCTGGCCGAGGCAAGAAGAACGGCGCTTTCTCTCCGCTTTCCTGCAACGGCACAACTTCGTCGCATATCATATTCAGGGATGGACAGGGCCCCGTTTAGTAAAACGTGGTTTAGTGAAATCGACCTCGGGCCCAAATCTGACGGACGCAAGCCTGGAAAATGACGGCCGCGGCGCACTCTCGAGAACCGAAAACGGACAGTTCACTAATCGACGTGTCAGGGTGGGGGGTCTGTCCATCCCTGACATATTTGGACACCCGACATGGGTACAGAACAAATGGGTACAATGCCCAACAGCAAATGTTGTCCCAATCCAACAGCAGCCGCTGTTGGGCAGGCGGCCCTCTCTGTCTCAAATGGACACAGGCCGCGGCGGCGCGGACAACGAGTCTTGCTCAAAATGAAGAAGAACCGCTGTTGGGCATTGTACTCGTTCTTTCCGCACCAATTTCGTTCGTGCCGATCATACGCCTATAGCTTGCCCTCCTCCAGCCAGCCGGTGGGGGGACCCGAGGGGAACACAACGATGCCGACCTCGTGACTCAGCGGACCTATCTGGGGGCGCGTTCTGACCAAGACTTCGAGGCCAGCACAGCCGTGGTGACGCGGGGAAAGGTTGAGCAAAGACCGACCGTCCCGGCATTCCTGTACGCCTACCACGACATGGTCTTAGAACCGACGAACGGCTCGCACAACGAAAAACATATCGAAAAACAAAACCGGTGCGCCTATATCATTTAAGGGATAAGTTTGAACAAGGCTGTCTCAGCCATATGTGTTCCAATCACATATCCTGCAAGCCACAAGACGTTTTTGCAAGATTTGGAGGGCCTATGGGCAAGTCAGGACGCCTCGCCACTGTTTGAAGGGTGGCGGTATCGGTACACTTCCCTTCTCTGCGGGCCATCGCCCTGCGCCCCCCCCGCCCGCCCATGATGATGACGATTATGATGATGACCGAGACTCGGAAGCGAGCGCAGCCGTGGCGAAGAGGGAGGGGTGGCGGCATCAGTAAAAATTCCATCCTCTGGCGACCATCGCCCTGCCCCCCCACGCCCGCCCGACTGCGGGGGCTGCTGGAGGTGGCTCTGGCCCGAGGTGCCCGCCAGATTCCCGTTCCACTTCGGGTCCCCTGGGCCTCGTGATGGGGTGCTCTGGAGTCCGTGGGAGCCCCCTTGGAAATCCTGGGCGGGGCACCTTGGGCCAGGGGCACTTCTAGCGACACGGGCACTTCTAGCAACACACCACGACGACGACGACGACGACGACGACGACGACGACGACGACGACGACGACGACGGCGACGACGACGACGACGACGACGACGACGACGACGACGACTTGCGCCCCCACACGCGGCCTGTGTAGCGTCCTCCGGACGCGGCGCCTCTCGGCCAACTCCGCGTTCAGGCGGGCCAAGTCCGCCTCTCCAGGGCGCCCCCGGGGGAGCGGAGGCGCCCCCGGCGCCGGGGACTGGCGGAGCACCCCCGCACGCGCGGACGTGTAATTCCTCTCTCCTCCCTCCTCCCTCCTCCTACCTGCTCCTCCTCTTCCTCCTCCTATTCCTCCTCCTCGTCGTCCTCCTCCTCCTCCTCGTCCTCCGCCTTCTCCTACTCCAACTCCTCCTCCAACTCCTTCTCCTCCTCCCCCTGTCGCACCCCCCGACGTGGGGCTGTGGCGGCGCGGGCGAACCATCCCCGCGTGCAGCCCCCCACCTAGAGCTCCCAGGTGTAGAGTCACGTGAACTCCAGCGTGCAGCCCCCGGGATGAGCAGTGCAGCCCCCAGAGGCCGGGCCCTGCATCCAGCATTGGGGTGGCTAGAATTGAAGGGGCCCACAAACACACAAATAAATACACACTGATAACAGAATTCCCAATAATTTCACATATTTTCTGGGTTCTTGTCTCCCCCCCCACTTCACATATTTTCATATATTTTCGGGGGAATCGACGATTCATTGTGTCTGTGTGTTTTTTCCCCTCCTGAAGAATGTGGAGCAACTCTCGGGTTGCGATTGGCAGGGCTCGCAGTCCATCTGTCTAACGACCTCGGCCCTGCATTCTCGGTGGGTGCAGACACTCTCCTCTCGCTGCGTTCTCCACCTGGCTCTGGCAGACTCCTGGTTTGCAGCGTCCTGATTTTTCTGGAGACCTGACCTAACCCCCATTTGGAGGGCGATGGCAGGAACAGCCAGCATCGAGCCAGAAATCGGATCAGATCGAAGTGCGCATTGAATCTGGCGGCGAAGTCGAAATCGAATCGGCTCGGCCGCACCAAGACGCAGAACAGCGCCACCGAAGCATCGGGCCGCATCGACTCGTTGGAACATCGGAATCGAATCGGATCGAGCCGGCCGAAATCGATATCGAGTCGAATCGGTCGGATGGATTCGAATGCAACTCATGGGAGCCTCCCGTGCCATCTTGCTGGCTCTTGCGAATCGCCGCTCATCGACGCTACATCGACGCTACATCGGCGCTCAACCAAAGACTACCAGACGCTAGCCGACCGACGCTAGCGCACTCCCAAGACAGAGTTACGAGGGCAACTCTATCAGGCTCCCAGGATTTGCCACCGATCGACACGGACCCTGACTTGGAGCGGCGCGAAGGCGGGGGAGCGCGGGGCAGGGCGCAGCGCGGTCGCCGTGGTCGTCCACGTCGTCGCTCTTCTCGCCTCCCCGCTTTCCCCCTGCGCTTGCTCCTCGTTCCTGCTGTCTTCGTCCTTCCCCTCGCCCCTTCCCCCTTCCCCCTGCGTTTGCAACTCCTTTTTGGACGCCCGACACGGGCACAGAGAAAAAATGTAAGAACTCCAACAACGAATGTTCTCCAGAACCGACAGCGGTCGCCGTTGGGCAAGCGACCTTTGAATCTCAAATGGGCAACGCCCGCGAGGACACCAACAACGAATCCGGTTCAAAATAAACAAGAGCCACTGTTGGTCTTTGTGCCCTTTCATTCAATACCCATTTCGATCGTACCGATGCTCTTGCTTCTGGGGGAACCAAACAAATACCGATACCGCTAGTCCCCGGACCTCTGCCGGCGTGCGTTCTGACCAGGATTTCGAGGCGAATCCAGCCGTGGCGACGAGGGCCTCCCAGGAAGCCTACAAAGGGGAAGACAAGGGAAGGGTAGCGGTATCGATACTTTTCCCTCTGAGCTTCATCCTTCTTCACCCTCTTGTTCTGTTTCCCCTCTCTTGAGGGCGAATGCCCATCCTGAACCCAACGGCGGTGTATACAACACTTCCCCCCGGCTTGGCCAGGAGCGCGTATACCGTACACACAGCTCCTGGGCCCAGAAAGGGCAAGGCCATGGGGCAATCGATATGTGTAGATTTCGTCGCCCGACATCCTTCTTCTCCCTCTTGTTTTTTGCTTGCCCCTCCCTAGACCCCCGACGCCATGATTTTTTCGTGTCGTCGACACCCAGAGGTCTCGACCCATCCTGAGTTGTTTTTTGGGATGGTCCCGGGGTCCGGCGAGGGCCCCCAGAGGCCCCCCCCAAAAAACCTGCCGCCGCGATTTTGTTTCATGGCTCGAGGGGGTCTGGGTCTGGAGTGGAAGGACAGCGACGCCAAACGGGCGCCCGCCTCGCCGCCGAGGCCGCGCGAGTACGCCATCCAGGCGAGGGCCACGGCGGCGGCGCGCCCGTGGCCCGCCTTGCAGTGGACGTAGACCTCTGCCGCGCATCGGCCGCGAGCCCCGGGGGAGATCGGCGGCGAGAGGGGGGGGGGGAAGCAAGGAGGAGGAGGCACCCTCCCCAGACCCCCTCGAGTCATGAACACAAATCATGGCGGCAATGTTTGTTTGCTGTTTTCGGCCTCTGGGGGTCCTCGATGGGCCCAAGCCTGCAGGGATGGAAAGGGCCCTGGATCATGGGGCTTCTTCCACAGACCTCATCCCGAATCCCCTGGTGAAGCTCGCAGGGCCGGGGAGGGCCCCCAGAGGACGAACACCAGGAGCAATCTCTAGAGACCTGTCTCCCTCAGGACCCCTCTGTCGCACTTGTCACCCCGAGCCTCGGGTGGGTGGCAAGGGGGGGGGACCCGAATGGAGGTTGAAGAGGCGGGCCCTCAAGGAGCCCTTTGGAGCTTCTCTTGGGCACCTGCTGGCTCCCCAAGGGGCCCTAACAGGCCCCTTTTGGGTCACGCCCCATTGCCACCCGCCTGGGAGCCGCCTGCTGGCACTCCTGGGGCCAAGGGAAACCGAATGCGAGGCGCACGAGGACGACGCCAACGCACCAACGACGACGACGGCCAAGACGACGACCCCTAAGAAAATCACCACCGGAACCCTAGACACAATTTTTCTGCGTTATGTTTCGGGCGGGTTCTGTGATGTTCCCCGACCCCGAAACCCGGCGAAAATATCCGCAGCAACAGAAATGCAACTCTCGGATTTGAGGGTACAACCGCTAGGTGACGACATTCGAACCCTAATCCCAACGACCATCGATTCTGATTCAATGGGAGGCCGGGGTAGGGTTCGGATTGCGCCACGTGTCCGACGCATTCCGAACCCTACCCCCGCCGCCCATCGGATCCTGAATCGATGATGGACGAGGGTAGGATTCGGATTTCGCCGTCGAGCCACGACTACGACGTTCATGGGGAAATCAAAAGGTACCAATATCGCTGATCACCGGACCTCTCCTGGGGTGCGTGCTGACCAAGACTTCGCGAAGCGAATCCAGCGGTGGCGACGAGAGCCTCCCAGGAGGCCCAACCATGCGAAAGCGAGGGAAAGGTAGCGACATGTATTATTTTTCCTCCCCTAAGTCCAGGACGCGCGTCCTTCAGGCCCGCTTCCAGGACGGGGATAAATTCGGCTGAGGATAAATCGAAAATCTCTGAGATCTGGCGGCTCTGGAAGATACCTCGGGCGCCACGGCCTCCTCAGAGCGTCCCGGAACGCCCTGAGAGCGCCCTGGAACGCTCTGGAACGGATTGATCCTCGTCCTCGCCCCGTCCGACACCTCTATCTTTTATCGCCCAAGAGGCGTGCCTTTTTTGACCCCTGACCCCCCCACCTTACGCAACGCCGGATAACCAACGGCGCCGTTTGTCTCGGGCCACGCCTTTGCCTCCCAGGCGCGGCCTGCTCCCCGCGCGCCTTCCGCTCCTGAGGGGGCGCAGCCAGAGTTAAGTCGGGCCTGTCCCTCTACAGGAGGAGTATTCAAAAATGATCAGGAAAAAAATAGGGGGACGTTTTTTTTGATTATTGTGAAACTAGTTTGGGGTATTGTTTGACTATTTTTGATTTCTCCTCCAAAATCCCCCTGTAAGGGGACACGCCCGACGTCAAGCTAGAGCCGGGCGGCGCCGTCGGCGCGCGGGGGGGGGGGCGGAAGAGCGGCACCGCCAGCGGCGCGGGGAGCCAAGATAGGCAAGTGCGCCCCGCCCCGCCCAAAATCATAGCTGTCGTCGCACATGGCCTGGGTCCGCCGCGGGGGATCCGCGATCCGTTACATCGAGGCGGACGTGCTTCTGTTTGGGACGTGTGCACTTTTCGAGTGGTGGGACGCGCTTGGTGAACAAGAGGGGGGTGGAGCCCCGAAAGGAGGAGAGAAGAAGGAGGTGTAGGATGACAACGACGACAGCCTCCTCTTTCTCCCCCTCCTCCTCCGCCTCACCCACTCATCTCCCTCCCGCACCCTCCGTCGATTCATCGATGCAATTCTATTCGCTCCGCCCATAGCCATTTGGCTGCCATGCAGGCCCTCACAGGAGCCTCAGGAGCTCGCAAGGCAGAAATGCCTCCCTCGCCCCTCTAACTCGTAGCTAGAGCCCACTCGTATCACATTGCTATGTACCAGACCTGCTCATCTGAGACAAGTGCGCGTGCAAGCGGGAGCTGAGGAGCTCCAACAGTCGTGAAGGGAGCTGGAGAGCACCCTAGTGGAAAATGAGTGTGCCACTGTGAAGCTTCGCTTCACGCCCTCCCCCTCCTCGAGGAGGCGAAAACCATGGATCGCCCTTAGGTGGTTGAAGGATTTTGAGGTGCTCACCTGTTCCGACTTCCGACCGCCCAGGACCGTCTTAAAGGCCTCTAAGGTACCCCAACGGCAGCCCATGAGGCCCTCAAAATAAGCCTCAAGTCGGCCCAAGAGTACCCCACGACCGCACAAGGGCCTCCCTGGTAGCGTGTGCTCGGGAGCCCCTGAGGCCCGAGTTCTTCGCGTCGGCTCCGCGCTTGGGTCGTCTTCTTTGCTGTTGCCCCTCCAGGCTAACACGCGCCCAACTGCCGAGCGAACAACACACACACACCCATACCTACAGGAGGGGACGGGAAGGGCTATGTGTGCGTGCTGTCGGATGGGGGTCCCCGCTCGAACGGGAGCCTCCCCTGGGGTCCGACAGCCCGCACCCGTACCCATAGCCAGTCCTCCTCCCTCCGAACCCTCTATGGTGATGAGGAACATCCTGGAGGCCTCGCGCGGCAACTTGAGACCTGATTCACGTCGGATCCACATCGGATCCACGTCGGGCAACGTCGGAATTACGTCGGACTGACGCCGGAGCATTGCCTACGGAGTTGACGTGTGGATTAGATCATACAACTATTCTGCGCCGCGCGAGGCCTCCAAGATTTGCCTCACAACCATGGGTAAGGGTGCGTGCGCTTCGTTCGTCACCAGCCCCTCTCTCAGGCCCACGCCAGAGACCGCCTGTGACCCAGGGTCACCAAGCGTCGCGCATCGCGCCCCGCGATGCGTGATTACTACCCTCGCGCCCTCGCGCAGCCCTCCTCGAGCTTGGGCCGCGACGCGCGACGCGCGGTTATCTAACCCACCCCTGCCTTTCTCGAGGCATCTCCAGCCTCCAGCTCGGGCAGGCCCTGTGGACCTCTTCGCTGGAGGTGGCTCCCTGGGTGGTGGCGGTGCCGCCTCTGACTCCTGTGAGCGAGGCGGGGGAGGGCGACGAAGGGGGGTAAGGATCGAGGAGGAGGAGGAGGAGAAGGAGGAGGAGGAGGAGGAGGAGGGGGAGGAGGAGGGAGGGAGTGAGGGGAGGGAGGGAGGGAGGGAGGGAGGGAGGGAGGAGGAGTGGGGGGGGGCAGGCGAGGAGGGTGTTTTTGCGCACCAGGGCTGCTTTGGGAGAGCAGGGTCGCCAGGGTGGATCAGCGCCAAGCTGACCACTTCTCAAAAGACGCGGAACTGGGTCGGTGCGGGCAGGTTGCGCTGTCCTGCCGCTTCTCCACGCCATCCAACGCGAACATCGAGCTCTCGTGCCACCTTCATGCGCGCTGCCGAAAGAAACCGTTCCTGGGTAGCGCCTCGGTCGCGCCGAGGAGTCGATCAAGGCATGCGAACTGCCCCACACGCGGCCCAGAAGCAGCCCGAAGACTCCTGCAGTGCGCCCTGGTTGCGAGGAGAACACATCACTATCTCTTCGCCCGCCCTCCTGCATCGCCCACCCGATCTGTGGGGATACTGCGAGTCCGCCTCCTCGGTCTGTTCCTGCTTCTCACCACGTTCCTATTTCTCCACCTTTTCCTCTTCCACATCATCATCACCATCACCATCATCATCACCATCATCACCATCACCATCACCATCATCGTCATCACCACCACCACCATCATCACCATCCTCACCATCACCATCATCATCATCATCATAATCATCATCATCAGCATCATCATCATCATTATCATCATCACCATTACCAGTATCATCATCAGCACCATCATCATCATCAGCAGCATCATCACCATCGTCATCATTCGCACTCTCCTCCTCCACCTTATCATGTCGCTCCTCCTCTCCTTGTTCCTCCCTCTAATACAAATTCTCTACGATTGTTATCAGAGTGAGGAGGCCGAACGGTCATTCAATGTCCCTGCGCGCAAAGCTGAAGTGATACTCCACGGTGCGGATTGCTGTTGCAATGTTTGTTGTTTGTTGTTGGTTGTTTGTTGACGTCGTCCCACCTACGACCCGGCCCGCAACCCATCCACGACCCACCCGCGACCCTCCCGCGACCCACCCGCGACCATTCGCGACCCACCCGCGACTTACCACGCGACCCACCCGCGACCCACCCACGACGCACCCGCGACCCACCCCGCGACCCGCCCGCGACCCTCCCGCGACCCACCCGCGACCCACCCGCAACCAACCCGCGACACGGCCTGCGACCAACCCGCGACCCACCCGCGATCCACCCGCGACCCATCCACACTGCTTTGATGTAAAAAATCGGCGCCTTCTTCGGGCCTATTGTCAGAATGAGGGCGCCGAACGGTCATTCACTGTCCCTGGGCGCGTGGCCGAAACGAGGTTCCGCGGTGCGGATTGTTGTTGCGTTATTTGTTGTTATTGTTTATTGTCGTTGTCCCACCCGCGACCCGGCCCGCGACCCGGCCCGCGACCCACCCGCGACCCACCCGCGACCCACCCGCGACCCACTCGCGACCCACCCGCGACTTACCCCTCGACCCACCCGCGACCATGCCGCAACCCATCCCGCGGCCCGCCCGCGACCCTTCCGGGACCCACCCGCGACCCACCCGCTTCCCGGCCCCGCGACCCACCCGCGACCGACCCACATGTAACGACAAAGTCGGCGCCTGCTTCGGGCCCGTTGTGTATCCGCCACCGTGCCTCTGAACACGGAGTGGGCGTGTCCTCAGGTCCTTTGCCTGATCCTCTCAGCCTCAATCCTTATTCCTGAGGAGTCT